TGTTTACACATCCTCAAGCTCAAAGTTTCTTTCCTCAACTATGTCTAGTTTACTTATGAGCCCATAGATGCATTCTCGATCTCTGTTTTATTTTACTTTTATTTTATTTTTTTTTGGTACCGGGGGTCGAACTTGGGTCCTTGTGCTTGTGAGGCAGGTGGTGGAACCACTGAACTAAATCCCCGGCCCTGTTTTACTGTTTTTGATCTCTAGCATTTTATTCTTAGAATTTCCATTTGTCTGCCTACATAATTTATACTTTTTCTATTGGACCTTTAGCATATTAATCATAATTGTTTTAAATTCTCAGTGTGATCATTCCAGCATTGCCGCCATTTCTGAGTCTAATTCTGATGCTTGTTCTTTTTTTCAGACTGTGCTTTGCCTTTCAGTATGCAGTGTGATTTTTTTCTCAAATGCCACATTTATAAGGAGCGTGACTTTTAGTGTAAAATTGTTAAGATCAGTAGTGTGAGCTGTTTTGCAGCTTAACTGGTTAAGTGTTGGCCTGTTTACTTTTTGCTACAGTGGAAATATCTGAGGCTGCATATTACATGGTGTCCTTGATTTTTTCTTCTTGGTTGTCCCTGAGTTCCCTTAGGGACTTCTTAAATAAGATCTGAGCCATGGAGCTCTTTCAGAACGTATCCTCCCTACTACACGAGCTCTGTTGATGAGTTGGTAAGTTATGAGACCAGGGGAAACATTCTGTAGTCCTATGGTTAAATCTCAGTGTTTTAATGAGCCTGGGGCCCTATTCTGTAACCTTCATAGGGTTTATTAATTCCCTGTTGCCCACCTTAGATGAATCAGGAAGGCTGGGCAGGCTGTGGGATGGTTGGTTGGGTATTTTCCGCCCCCATGTAGAAGGCCAAACTCCAATGGAGTTGGATATTTACTTTTCAATTAGACTCTGGTCCAACCTTAGTGATTTAGGTTGTGCTATTTTTTTTCATGTGTAGTGGTTCTGTTCAGAACAGAATAGTCTTGATGTTTTCCAAAATGGCTACCTTTCCTCTCTTCCACTTGCAAACAGGAAGGGATTTTTCTCAAATTTTCACTGTGAGAACCTTATAGGATTCCTGAAAGTAAAACTCAGAGCATGTGGGATCCTCCCCTATGGCTAGGTAGTGAACTTATGGCACGTGTGGCAGAGTGGGCTGTTTGTGTCACTGAAAGCTCTAAAATGTTCACCATCACTGTCCTCAGGTTCTTAGACGCATCTACACTAATTAGATGCATCCACACTAAGATCAGCTTGGGTTTTCCTCCCGATACTAGCAGGGCTTTGTACGCTGGTGCTTTTGCTCTGCTAAGTTGTGCGTCTCTGTGCCTCCCTTCCTCTAACTATAGGACAGTGGATGGCAGGCTGACCTTAGTTCTCTGCTGGATCTGTACAGAATTAGAGACTTTCAATTTCTTCAGTTTCTTTAGTGAAGAGGTATTGTTGATTCTTGTCGAGTGGATAAGAGTCACAACTTCTACCTTCCTTGCACCGGGTCCAGAATCAGAATTTTGTAGGCTTTTGCCTTGAGATTTGGTCTCCTTCTCCATCCTTTCCATTCTTTCCCTCTCTTTCTCTTTGTCCCCACCACTTTTTGTTTAGTGATTTTGTTCTAGCATTACTTATCTCCCAGGACCTTATCTGTGTGACAATACTAGATTAGGTATTGCTGCACCATGGTCATTCTTGAGGTTTTGCACAGGAGCTTAGCTAGAACCCAGTAGTATTTCAAGACCATGGTTCTTTGCTTCATTCTCTGGCTTACTTCCGGTTTGACTCAGTTTTCTTCTCTCTTTTGTGACATTTGAATCAGTCAAAATCCAAACTGAGATAGTGTGGTCCTCATCCCAGAGTCCAAGAATTCTGTGGTTTCTGTTGTGTTCATAGTTGGCATATCTGTTCTTTCCTTGTCTTCTGAAATGATTTTCTTATTTTAATCTCTGTTTTCTTAAAAAGAAGTTTTGATTTTTTTATACTTGCTTTGTGTTTAAATCAGAGGCAAAATATTAAGTTACTGTGCTAATCTGATTAAAGCCTAACTTTAGGAAATAAGTTTCACTTGGTTTAAATTTGTAGTTTTTAGAAGCTATGGGGATATTTACTAACTTATAAAGAAATGAAACATTTCAAACTTTATTTGTGAAAAATAGACTATAGAAAACTCTTTGTATTTCTGATATAGCAATATTATTGATTCAAGAAAAGTCCAATTTGGTTTTAAATATCAGATGAGAAAATGGATTAAAACTATTTTTATGTACTATAAAATTCATAGATGAAGTTTATTGGGACTGTAGACACTTAATACTTTCATGCCATTTGGTAAAAAAGAGCATTTAAAGTTGGATTGCCTTAAGCTATAAACATTTTTATTTAAATGTAGAAGAATGATCAAAAAGGTAAATAATTCTGGGAAAAAATAATGCTTGATTAAAGAAATAATGCATTATAACATTTAAAAGAAAACTAATAAATTGATGGTGGAGGAATTTTTATATTATAGATTTCTTCGATAGTATTAAGTTTCAGTATTGAGGATGCCATCAAAGTTTGATTTTAGGAATAAGGAAAAATTACAATATGTCTCAAATATCCAATATAAAAAACCAAACCTATCATTTGTAGCTAATGTAATCATTTTAAACATCATATTCTTTTAAATAAATTATTTTTGTCCTAAGCCTGGTGTTGAGAATTTTAGAAATACGATAATTTTGTTCAGAGAGAAAGCAGCTAATTGTCTCTTTGCCTGTTGCTCTTTAGGCTATTTTGTCTGGCTGGGAGCAAAGCATCCTCTTCCTCTCAGCCATGTGCGCAGCAGTGCCTGGTTAAGCAGCTCGCTGTATCACTGCTTGGGCAGGAGCTGCTGTCTTCGCTTCTATTATGCCATGGAAAGCAGTATTTTAAGAGTGGGACTATACAGCAACGAGGTAAGAAGGAAGTAACATTTATTTCAAATTCATCTAATAAGTGAACTTTCTATTCTTTACAACTTGTGTTTCTACTTCTCAGTTGTGCCTAAGCCTTAGGGATTTTGTAACTTGGCATTATTCAGGATACTTTTTAAAAGAATTATTAAGAGGCCAGTGTATGACAGGAAGGAGTACCATGCAACAATATAGTTGTGATAATCTGCATAGTATCATTTCATAAAATTGTGAAAATCCATGAAACTGTACTGAGGAAATTATAGCTCTCAAGTGAAATACCTGGAAGTTTGGCTCGCTAGCTCTGTGTTGAAACTCTGATGTGATCTGTTTAGATATTAGATCCATTTATCATTGAAGCTATTAATACGATGGAAGTAAGTTATTTGTTTTGGTACAACTATATACACTTTTAAAGACTGGTAGCTATTGATTAAATATAAACAAATGAGTCTTTTGAATTAAAAAAGGTACACCTGGTAGAAAGTTGTAATGATTATGTCAGTGAATCAGATAAATTTGGGCCTTTAATTAAAACAGTCCTCTGCAGGAGGGAAAACACATGAAGCACTTTGACAGTCTCTTTTGTGAAGAAAAATTATTGATATTATTTACTCACAGGAGTAAATAGCAGTCATTCTAGATATTGGAAACATTTGGCAATAATTGCAGGAATTCTAACATTGGAAGAAAGGAAGACAGCAGAGGCATCCAAGTGAATTCCCTGTGTCTCAGGATGCTTTCAATAAACCCAGTTAAAACTTCTGCATGATATGAACCACATTTATTATTTCAGCAGAGTTTATCACCTGTTGCTCATTTGGTGCCACGAACAACCTGCCAATAGCATTTCCTTCTGGTCTGTTTTCTTCTGAATTAGGTGTGTTTGTCATAACCCTCAAATGTTAGAAAGCTTATTACCAAGATATTTGAGCATTCAGGAGAAATCTTTTTTTTTATCCCCTCTTCCTTTGCTTTTTGTACCATTTTCATCATCTTTGGTCTTCTTCTACCTCTTCCTTTTAGAGATACTCAAGAGTTCTCAGTCATATTATTGGATTTATATTCCATTAGAATTACTAGGATGAGACGCAATGTTTAGCATTCTGTAACTGTACTATGTTTTTGTGACTTTTTGGCAGTAGTAGTTTGTAGCCAATTGGTCTACATCTATTGGATCAATTTCATTTAATTTGGTAAGTTGCATGGGTAGAAGTAGAGGAAGAAAAAAACATTTTCCTACTCTTTCCGTGCCACAACAGAACTTTCCATATAAATGGTGGCAATTCTATAAAACACAAAGTTCCCTCAAAACTAAGTATCAAAAGCTAAACTTTATCCAAATATCATT